GTGTATCAACATCAATGCAGACATACAGGTATGGTTAGAAACTGGGTTTTGTCTGTATTTTAGGTTCTATGCTGCAGAGATTGCCATTGGACTCTTCTTCCTTCACTCCAAAGGCATTGTGTATCGGTAAGTGAATCCTCTCCAGTCCGATTGTGCAGTTTACAATCATTTCAGAATACAGGTGTGAGAAATGCCTGCGTGTGTGTGTGTTTGTTTTCAGAGATCTGAAGCTGGACAACGTGATGCTGGACTCTGAAGGCCATATAAAGATAGCCGACTTTGGCATGTGCAAAGAGAACATGTATGATGGAATTACCACAAAGACATTTTGTGGAACACCAGACTACATCGCTCCAGAGGTGTGTTCACATGTTGAGAGGTGGCTGATACTGTTTTTCTTTTTATCTTTTAACTTCTGAACAAGACTCAAGACTCTACCATTGTGTCTTGTAGATCATAGCTTATCAGCCCTATGGGAAGTCTGTGGACTGGTGGGCCTTTGGAGTGCTGCTCTATGAAATGCTTGCTGGACAGGTTTGTATTAATTCACTGTATCACACCTTTTTATTGAGAAATAAAGAACTGAGAATGATTAAGTATATTTGTGCCCATCCAGCCGCCTTTTGACGGGGAGGATGAAGATGAGCTGTTCCAGTCGATCATGGAGCATCATGTCTCTTACCCTAAGTCCATGTCCAAAGAAGCTGTTGCAATCTGCAAGGGGGTGAGAGCACATGCTCAAATGCACATATACACAGAGACTCAATCCTAATCTGAGCCTTAAACCTGCTCTGTATCCACTCCGAACACTGGAGAGTACGCCACATTAAGGGCTGTTAGTTTGAAGTGTGTAAGAATAACCCCAGCACTGAGGTTACACCACAGCTGACTTATGATTCTCTGAAGTCTAATGATTCTTCTGACACCTACTTTACCCACAATGCATCCACCTACAGTTCATCCATCCATGATACAAATTTCCAACTTACTTAACAAACTAATTTGGCTTACTAAAAAATAATGGGAGCAGTTAGCTGTTAGCATTGTCCAAGGTGTGCTCATGTGAGTAAAACTTCCCCACTGATCTCTGGACAGCCTGATTACCCTACATTAAATACCAATCTGGGGATACTGAATGTCAGGTCTGCTACTCAGTGTAGTGTTTGATGCTGACAGCACTATAGCTATCTGAGGTAGCTATTAAAGTGACTTTTTTCTTTCAATGATAGCTGTCAGGTGTGTTATGGTAGTAACGGCTAACGTAGCCTCTTGATTCAGGTAGAGATCAGGAGTGGGCTACAGATGTCTGGTAAGCTTACTTCTTTCTTTTTCCACACCTGCAGACAATACATATGCAGTAGTACTCCTCAAGACCTGTAAACAGACTTAAATATAGGTCAGTAAGAGATTCTTAATTTTGGTAATTCAATTAATTCAGTTTATTTTCCAGCCCTGATTATTTACCACCTCCCCCTTAATGCGGCGTGCCCTTCACAGCCATGAGTATGACTTTATGTAGAGTGACAAACTGTAGTGAAGGGCTAATGTGTAGGTTGGTTTGGAAAATGGCCACAGACACACACACACACACACATACACTCCTCCAAACTCTTCTCACCTTGTATATCTGTGTGTGATTTTTAGCTTATGACCAAGCACCCAGGTAAGCGTCTAGGCTGTGGTCCAGAGGGCGAGAGAGACATCAAAGAACACGCCTTCTTCCGCTATATAGACTGGGAAAAACTGGAGAACAAAGAGGTCCAGCCGCCTTTCAAACCTAAAGCTGTGAGTATTTTACACACACACACCATCTTCAGCTGTTGAATATCACCTGAACTTCACTGATTACCTCAGAATTTAGTCACAGTAAGAAAGGAAATAACACGCTTAGTCAAACTTTCAAGGTAAGTTATAGAAACGATTAGATCGCTCATCCCCCGCACCCAACCATCGCCTGCCATTGATCACTACGCTGACAAATGCAGAGCTGAGATTTGTGAGTGTAGTCACCAATGATGAAGCTAAGATTTCACTGGCTCACATACGGACCAATGGAAATCCACAGTTTCGGCTGTGACTGATTTGATTGGTTGATGCCATGTTTTAGTTGTATTTCTCTTTTTTCTCTTTGTTGTTTGTTATTGTCCTTTTTTTCTTCACATAACCTCATCAAACTCACTCCATCCTTCCCCCCCATCTCTCTCTCCATCTCTCTCTCTCCTCTCTCCTCTCCTCTCCTCTCCTCTCCATGGCAGTGTGGGCGTGATGCGGAGAACTTTGATCGCTTTTTCACACGCCACCCCCCAGAGCTGACCCCCCCAGATCAGGAGCTTATAGCCAACCTGGACCAGGAAGAATTCCAAGGCTTCTCATTTGTTAACCCTGAGTACCCTCACACAACTCACTGACCATGCCACATATCACTGGGCTGCACTAGTAATCCCCCACACCTCGGAAACATGCATTAAAAAAATTTATAAAAATAAAAAAATCACCATGATGTCATATCTAGGCTGCATTCGGCAGGGTTGAAACGTTACAGGAATAGTTCACGTTTTCGGACATACGCTTATTGGCTTTTTCTTTTGAGAGTTGGATGAAAATATAGATATTAACCTCGTCTGTGCATGAAGTACAGAGCTGGAGTCAGAAGGTTATTAGCCTAGCTTAGCATACAGACTGGAAGCAGGGGGAAACAGCTAGCCTGTCTCTCTTCAAAGATTAAAAAAGACACCTACTTGCGCCTCTAAACATGTTCTATCTAGTTTATTAAAAAAAAAAAAAAACATAGTTACACTATATAACTGCTCCTGAAGACGTGAAATTTTAGAGGAAGTGCCATGCGAGGGTCACATGACAGACGGACACAGCTGAATCAGTAAACTACTTTTTGTTAGCGTTGTTAGCTTGTCTATTGGTAGCGCAAGAAGTTTGTCAGGGATGAAGCAGAAAGAACAACTGCCCATGAAAAGTAAAAAATCTCCACAGCAAAGGAAAAAATGCATCACGCTTGTTAATCTTTTTCTGTTTAGTTTTTACAGCAGCAGCCTACCTTATCACTGTGATTCAAATGTAGTCAAGCAAAAAAAAAATCCCATCATCCTCAGCTGTACTTGGTGCTTGGTCATAATTAGTAAATATTATTATCTATCTAAGATGGTGAATGTGGTCAACATTATTAACCTATTTAATCTGCCAAACATCCGCATGTTAACTTTATCATTTTGAGCGTGTCAGCATGCGCATGTTAACATTTAGCGCAGAGCACCACTGTGCCTACATACAGCCTTACAGAGCTGCTGTGTCTTGTCAGATTCTTTAATGTGAAGGTCTGTTGCGCAGCAAAAGACTTGCACCAGCTAAGAGCTTGCAACAACCAGTAGTAGTAAGCCAGCAGTAAGTATGCTAACAGATTAGCTCACTAGTGGTAATCTAGTGCGGCTACCTCCTGCAGGTCATTGGTCAAAATGTGTCTTTGTGTGTGGATTAAACAAAAAGATTAAAATGTCTTAATTAGTAAACTAGTTCTGGTTGCTCTATTTTTCAGGAGAGCCAGGCTAGCTACTTCCCCTGGTTTCCAGTGTTTATGCTAATTGTCTCCTGGCTCCAGAACTGTACCTAATGCACAGACATAAGAGTGATATCAATCCCATCGAGATATATATATATATATATATATAAGATGGACGACATGACAGCTCTCCTAAAGTGAAGCCAAAACACCTTGATCTCCCCCTGGTGGCTGACTGTTGTATAGGTTATAAAGCCTGTTGCCTCCTTCTTAGCAGAAAAAATCTCAATAGACGTCAAATAATTTATTCCTAAAGGTTTCTGTCATTTTATGTAGTTCATGTAGTTCTTATCACACTGATGTAAGTTAAAGTGTGCTCCGACTGGTTTGGTTTAAATTAGTTAGCCTATTTGAAGCTATAAAAAGGGGGATTCACGTCATAATTGACAGCTGAGCCCACTCCTTGAGGCGGGACATGGACACCACCCCGCGTTATCTAACGCACAGTTTCTGGCTCCGAATTACATAATCAGCGCAACATGGCACCGTATCTGGGATATTTTGGCTTCATTTTTGTACAGTGGGATGAAGTGGAGACGCGATATCCATCCTTTATATGTCGATGATCAATTCAACTTCTGGAAAGAAATCCATATAAGCGTATTTTCTCAAAATGTCAAACTATTTCTTTCGATAACGTTCAGATGGAAATGCAGACAGGTGCTCAAATGCTAACAATCAGGAGAAATAATCAGATAGTCATGTGTCAAGTTGCCAGTAGGACCTAGATTTGTTTTCAGTTTACTTTGGTTTAGCGTGTCATGTTACACTGCTGCTCTCATATCAGCTCTACTGGCTGTATTTCTATCTTTTAGTGCAGAAATATTGCTCCTGAATGCTGCCCGGCTGCTCACACCAGCAGGTTCACGTTGGAATCCGACCTCAGGGCTGACCTGAACCTGCTCTGTCTCTGTGTCACCCTCCCTGTAATTGCATATTGACTATGCCGACCTATCAGTGATATTGATGAGTGTGCTATGATCACATATTGGTAATATTCATACAGTGTAAGTGAAAACTGACCAATTGCTTTGCTATGATTGTTTGAGTACTAATCAGTTTCCTAATGTTGACTTTACTTTTGTCTATAGGACCAAATACTTCTACACTTTATGTTCAGTCAGTGTTGTGGTGAGCTTATCTGAAAATTTTTGCTGATTTAATTTTTAACCAGTCAGAGGATAGAAGTCTTTATACAGGCAGTCTGCAAGAGTCTATGTCAAGTTAGTGATTTTTGACTAAAAGCTCATTATTTTTCTCCTGATTCATTACTGAAAACATTCACCACATTACACTGTGTTTTTAATGACAGAGGGCATATCTCTTAGCTTGTAAACAAACATTTTTGGAGGATTTTACATATGACGAAGCCCTGCCGAGTCTCGTGAAGGTGGTAGTTTCTTAGCTTACAAAAACAGGATGTCCAAAAGTGCCAAAATAGGGTTCAGAGTAACGAGGAGGTAGAAAGCTATTGTCCTCAATAACTGTGATGAAGGGCAGCCATCTTGTGCCATTTTGCAGTACATGTATAATTGTTAGAATATGCATTATAGCTTATCTGTTCTCCAACAATACAGTACCCTTGGAAAATCATTTTCATGTATAAAATGAATTGTCTGAGAAGACGTGTGTTTCATTGTGAGGCAGGTTGTATTATCCTTTTGTAACTGTGTAACGATGCAGGTTAGTAACAATGTGTCAAATCTTGTTCTTTGAGCTCGTATCAAAAAGGGAGGCGGCAGCGTGGTGACATCTCAGATTGGTTTCTGTTATACCAAGATGCTCGCTGATAATGACGGGGATTTAAAGGGGGGGGATTTAAAAAAAAGCGAGCACTTATTGTGATGATGGTAATGGTGATGAATCGATGGTGACATAAGAGATATTATAGAGAAAAAAATATATATATCGAGTTCTATATCAGAGAGATATTTGGATAAATTGTTCTGGATGAGAGAGATGCTTCTGTGGATTGTGTAATTGTCCTGTATGACTGGAAACTGATAATATACTCACTGGTGCCTACCAGACTCCCTCTGCTGTGTCTGCCTTGTTACTGCTGCTACACCCAAAATGGTTACACTTTAAAGAGAGAGTTCATCATCATTTTGGGATATATGTGTGTTTGGTTTCTTGCTGAAAGTTAGATGAGAAAATCAATTCTGCTCTCATATCTGGAAGCTAAGTTAGCGCCAGGAGACGGCTAGTTTAGCTTAGCGTAATAATTGGAAACGGGAAAAGAGTCCAAACACGTTATGTGTTATTTGTTTAATTTGTATTAAAGCTGCTCTCAGTCATAATGCTAAGCTTAGCCGAGCGTTTACCGGCTGTAGTTTCATATGTGATGGACAGACATGAGAGTGGTATTGATCTTTTCATCTAACTCTTAGCAAGAAAACCAATACGTGTTTTTTCCAAAATGTATAATCGGTATGTGAACACTTAATAAGTACTTACACATCAATGTAACTGTAAGCAGATATTAGGACATTTTAAGTGTTTATTAATGCGTTTGTCAACAGTTATAACTTCTTGAAGCATCCATAACCAGTGTATCAACAGTTAGAGGGGGGTTAGGGAATGGCAGAAATCGAGCATGTTCGTTCTCTCTGAGTGGCTGACTGAGCAGGTTTATAGGGGCTTATTTTACTGTCAGGAGTACATAGAACATGAAACATGTCATATACTAAAGGCTTCTAAAACCCATAAACACTATAAATTGACATAAGATACTCGTGTTTAATTATTGTAAGAGATATTTCTCTAATGCTTCACAAGTGAGAAACAAATTGTTGTGTACCACTGCAGTGTTTTGCTTGTGAAAGAGAGAGCTATGCACCAGTATAACCAATTCCAGTTTTTGAGCTGTAACCTCGGCTGTCTAACAACTTGTACAGCGCTCGTTTCTCTCTGTCTGGCTATTATTACAGACATATCTAAACTAACCACAGACACTCGACTCACTCATGGACTCACTGCTTTTGTAGAGCCATAACGTTAAGCCCACGAAGGTCTAGGGCTTAATAACAAAAGGAAAGGAAAACTGTAATGCTAAATAAAATGTATAATGTTCACTAACACAAAAAGACAAATAACCCATCAATGGATGGTGTTTCTCAGTTGTCCTGAAGTGAGAATAAGTATTTCTAAATAAATAACTAATACTTGTAATAAACAAATATTTCATAATTTATGTTAATGTAAAAGATAAATCTATATTTTATATTATTACAGCTGTGTTATTGCGTCAATGAAAATGAAATGTTTATATACAAGTTACAGATGCTTCATAGGACTTAAAGTTGTTGTCAAATACATGAATTAAACTATAACCTATAACACTCCCAAAGTCCCTTTCATTGCTTTCAGATAACAAGATGTCAATCGTAGTTATCAACCATTTATTAATTGCTATGAACCGCAGATAAAGAAGCTACATAGGAGGGTGAAAATAAAATGTTAATAAAACAAACACACTGCAGAGATGAAATATGCTGTGTCACACCTTCCCTCATACACAAAGATGAGCTGAATTAGTGGTGAATTCATGGACCAGTGGTAGAGGTGCGAAGGTTTCCAGCCCCTCCTCATTTCAGCTGGAAGCCCTGAGATGAGACAAAAGGAGGAGGTAGGAAACTAAATGCTTTGTGTGTGTGTGTGATACATGTGTCTTGCCTGGGGCTCACTGCTTCACTTCCCTGTGTGAAATCCTTTCCGGTTGTGGTTTGGTCTGCAGCTGGTCTGTTTTTTTATCGATCCTCGTCTGTTCTGTACTGGAACATCTCCTCTCTCTGGCTTTGGAAGTTTGTCTTGGATCGTTCTGCATCTGTGCTGTTGAAATGTTTTGGTCGGTCCTTTTCATCCTTTTGACTGTGTTTCTTGGGTTTGTCGGCAGGGTGTGTTTGTTTTTTGTCGACTTTCTACCCCCCCAGTCCTGTATGGAATCAGTGGTGTGTTTTGCTGAGTCTAGACTGCTTGTGGTACCGACAGATGATCAGAGGTGTGGACTTAGACTGTACTTAGACTTCAGAAAATCAAAAAGCAGCTTGACTTTTTTCAACACCAGACTCATGACTTCACTGAGACTTAAAGGATAGGTTCACCAACATTCAAGTTTATCTTAAAACAATTGTCAGGTGTTCATATAGACATTGAAACAGGTTCCTGTAATAATTCATCCTGTTCATACTAGTTAAAAGATGCCTTCCCAATTCCCAAGTCAGTATTTTAACTAGTTTCTTCCATTGTGGCCATGTAGAGAAGTCTTAAAAATAGAATGTATATGCAAATTAACCTTTACAGAATAGATAATTGTAGCATTAAAGGACCAGTGTGTAGGATTTACCACCATCTAGTGGTGAGGTTGCTACCAACTGAAACCCCTCGACTCATCAAGCACAAAGGAAAACTACAGTGGCCAACTACCAAAGGCCACATCTAGAGCCAGTGTTTGTCCGTTATGGTGGTTCAACATGGCGGACTCTGTAGAAGAAGACCCGCTCCCTCTGTAGACATAAATGGTTCATTCTAAGGTAACAAAAACACAACGAGTTATATTATCTGGTGATTATACACTAATGAAAACATATAAAATGGTAAGGATGCATGATATGGATATTTTTTCAGCCAATACAATAAGCGATAATTACCTGATTCTCACGGCCAATACCGATAAGATAACCAACAATTTCACATTTTCCTATTTTAAAAAATTCATAACCTTTAGTTTTTACACACTTGATGGTAAGAAAGGCTTAGATGTAGTGAGCAAAGATATATCATTTATTATTCCACAGCTCTGTTTTAACCAAATCTAACAAACAACGGTTCTGATTCTTCAAATGTTTGTTTATTTTTTTTTAGTAAAGTTAATCAAAAAACATTCTTTGGCTTCCATAGGACATAAAGCCAATCAAACATTTTGCATTAGAATTCAATACATTTTTAAAATAGCAGTAATTTAATTATCCTGATAATTCATAATATACATTTCCAATTACCTGCTGATAATTTATATTCCATTACTGCCAATAGATCATCCTCAATGTTACACACTGGATCTTTAACTGAAATCTAAAGAAAATGTAAAAGAATATGAACATTTTATAAGCTTTTTTGGTTACTGATGGGTTGAATGGGAGGAGTTTGGCGTCCTGACCTGAGTATTTCTAAAAAGATATACCTGATAGTTTTGCTTTCAAATATTGTAAAAAAAAAAAAAATAATAATTGAAAGTAATACACTGATATTTTAAAAGGCTTTTGTGTGCTATACTAACTGTTTATAGATTTAAAATGTCATTAGATCAGGTGAAGGGCACATAGTTACTTGTGTGTTGGACTCTGAAGACATGTTTAGGACCATTATTTGACTTTGACTTGTTGGTCTTGACTTCAGACTTGAGTTGCAAAACAATGACTCTGTCCCACCTCTGCAGATTATTAAATTGTGTCTTTCCGTGTTCTGAAACTGTACCTTGCCTCCTTCTCTACCTTCATCTCTGTGCTTCTATTGTTGTCAACCTTCTTCTGAACTGGCTTTTTAAACGCTGTACAAACTTCTCTTCGGCTTTATTTTTCCAACACGTTCTCTCTCCCTTTCTCT